TTTTTAGGGAATAGTAAAAAGCAGATTCAGCCTGATCTATCTGGAGAATTGGGTGAAGAAAGGAGGAAGAAAAAAAAAGGGGTGGTGGTGGAGAGCCTTCTTTATGCTTTGGGGCAGCCTTTCCTAAATAAGATCCAGTTACTCAACCTGCACTCATGTAGATTATTTCATGATCCTCTTTAATGGTTTAGGGCAAGAATCAGAAAAGGTTTTTAACTATATCGCCTTTTTATGCTGGCATGCAATTAGAGTTAATCCCACTACTGAAACAAATGTCCTTCTCATTTTGATTAATAATTACTTATAGTTTTTACACTTAGATACCCATGACTCCATTACCCTAAAAGTAGTTAAATTCTACCTCATATTTAAATTGCATAGCCTGCCAATTGATAAACTGAGTTAATTTTATGGTTTATTCTTTTTTTGTATGTAACCTTTTTTTTTTACTATTGTTTTATTTTAATATAGCTTTATTTTGTGCTTGTCCTATAAAGATACTTGTACTAGAAGAGAACTGGAATTTTAAACAATTCTATATACATATAATTATATATTTGTTCATATATAGAACAATCTATGCATACAGACACTTGGATCATTTGGTTTGGGACTATGACTGGAAACGATCCATTTCCTCCTGGTTTGCATAATAAAGTTTCCCACAATCCTAACTGATAACTTTTTTCACTTTTTCCTTCTGTCCAGGGATATTTTATATGGCTGCTGCTCAAGTTTCTTTTGAATTGGAGATACAGATTTAGATTTAGATTATTTTGAACTAAAGCATATACTCTGTAACTGAGGTTTTGCCACTGTATTTTTAAATATTTTAACAGTTCTTAACCTTGAGACTGTCAGTTGCAGACCTTGAGACATTTTTTTCTAGTTTTTGGAAGCCAATTTATATTTATATTTATATTGTCCTGAGTGCTGGAGTATCAGATGGTTAAAAGGAAGAATTGCTCTCTTCCAAACTTTTGCTAAAACAATTAGAGAAAGAGAAAGGAACCAAGGAGATTCTTTCATTGCAAAGAGTGATAAGCTCTAACCTTTTCCCCAAACTTGGACATAGAAAGGGATAAAAGTCCATAACCAAATTGTGCTGCACTTAGGGACTTGGTGCCTTCGTAGTTCCATCCTACAGAATATCTCTGGTTGTTTCCTTTTTCCAAAGTTCAAATAAGCATTAATGCTTATTAATGTTTAATAATATATCAGATATATCATGTCAAAACAATACTTCCATGTTTGGTACTGAAGAGGCATGCAGGAAGTAGCTTTGCAATAGCTTTAGCCATCCAAGGTTTCTAAGCCTTTCTGCAGCATAGCAACTTTAAATGGGACCTTTCCCTTCTGGTAATGGTTAAGTGAGCTGGATATATCTAGAAAGATATTGTAATGACCGAGATGGAATCTTTACCTTTTGGGATAGGTTCCTAACCACCACAATTTTAGGTTAGTTAACAAAGTTCCCTGTAAGTATATGTATATAAAAATGATACAGTTATGTAAAAATCTGACTTTTTCACCTGAATACTGATTTAAGCTACACATGTGCTTTATTTATGACATCTCTTTGTTGGCACATGAAAATTCAATCCAAAATTGTACAGTTGGCTATTACGTTTTATATTTTTATTAGTTAGTTTGGACTATGGCATAAAGAAAATATGACTTGACAGCCAATGTGATATGGAGAAACATGACAATTAGAACTGTGGGTTGTTATTGGTCTCTGCTCTGCATTTGTTCTTTTGAGTTATATAGCAGAAAGGGATCAAACATAATTGCATTGTGTTCATGTAATGTCAGGAACAAGCAACCAGATTCACCTGTGAAAGCTTCAAGTTAGCTATTTTATTGCATTCTACCTGTGTTGCAGAATCTTTCTGATCTGCTTACCTTCCCTTGGGAACAAACAGACTCCATGGACTTAAGGTCAAGTTTATGTCTCTGGTGACTATGCAAGGATTCAAGGCTAGTTTCTCGCTTCATTTCTCTTTGCCTGGCCTGGAGTTTTTTAACTCAAACTGAGCAAATAATTTTGTGACTTTTTTTCTTTATAGTGTTTTAAAGAATACACCATAAGTACTTACAAAAAGAGAATAATTAGAATAAGATGCTATAATAGAAGTGGGAAATACAGTGGCAAAGTTGGGTGAATATTTTTCATAATAATTTCTATAATAGAAATTACGTAACTTTAAGAACCCTTCGAGTATGGTCATGATACTAACGACGTATAATAAATGTGACTAGAGGAAACCATAATTCTGCACCGAAGTATTTGCATTGTTTCAGGTTTGAAGGCACATTGGAAGGAGATTGGGCACTCATGTTCAAAATGGATGCAGTAAAGACGTTACTCACAGACTAGGGCCAGAACAAGTTTAAATTAAATTTCATAAAATGCATTTATGAAATTGTGTAAGAAATTATTAAATACAGGTATAACTGTAAAATATATTATTCTCCCCAATCTCATAAAATATTGAATTTTTAATCTGACGTTAATAATAGGAATAGCATATTTCCTTCTCCTAACTGTAAAATAAAATTATTTCCAAACTATACTTGTAAATCAGTTTCAATCACCTATAATTCACTAAAGTCAATTAACATAAATATTATTTTCCTTACTGAGATGAGAAGAAAAGTATTTTGAGTAGGAAAGATTTTCCCCCATGTTTCTACTATCCCAAAAATCCCTGTGAAAGGGCTGCAGTCTTCCAATTACTAAACAAAAATCCACAATCCCAACAGCCCTCTTCCAGTTCATTTTAAAATGCTTTTTCAATTCATGTCAAAGGAGGCATCACGGGGGCTTTCCAGAAATTTTCATCTTTCATATCCCTGCCTCTTCTATCCAGAGGCAAGGAGATAAAAAAATGTGCAAGCCATTGATTTCTGCCCTCAGCTGGCTCCAAAGTACAATGGATATGTTAGTGGGCAAGACTGACTGTGACTGTAATAAGTGAAGTCTAGTAAACCTTAAGGAAGCTACTGCTGCTGCTTGCCTGCGTGACCTATGTTGTCCTTTTCCTGGAACCCTGTATTGTTCCTCTTTTTTCCATTGTCTTTATTTTTATTTTAAACTAAGAAAAAATCTTTTAATATATATATTTTAAAAATGGTAAGAAATAAGATGATGAGAGAAAGGGGAAGGGCTTTCTGGCCATGGCTTTGTAAAGTAGCAAAAGGCCAAAATAGTGAATGGAGAGTGCTATAGTTCCAGGGAGAAAAAAAGGATAACCTTTTTTCAGTAGCTGTCCTACTGAATTGTTATTGTCCTTTCATATCTCTTCCTTAGTGAGGAATCGGCAAGATATCTAAATGATCTGATCTTCCCTAAACAAAGAATAGCTTTCTTCAGAGCCAGATTTAATATTCTCCCCTCAGCACTTCTCCAGGGCAGGTAGCAGAACGGGTATGTATATGTGGTAAAGGAGAAGTCGAAGATATCTCACATGTTTTATTGTACTGTGAGTTATATAGAGTTTATAGGTCAGTATATATTCTCCCCTTACTAGAAAGTTTGCCAGGGAGAGCAGACAACTTTTATGTAGTCTTTCTCCTCTAGGACTCAAACCCAGCTACCACGCGTGCAGTGGCAAAATTCTGCGTTGCTGCAATGTCCACAAGAAAAAAAATTAGTTACAGAATTATAGCTGTCAACTTGTGCCAATTTTTTTGAGATATCTATAACAATTTTTGGAAAAATACATTTACTCACATACTTATCGGCTCTCCACTCACGTAAATTAGGGAGTGACCGTAATGGTTTGAGATCATGTATTTTCATAAGAGGGATATTATTATTCACTATTAATGTCAGTATTATTTTTAATATATTGTATGTCTATTGCTGGTCGATGACTGTAATAAAGTTATATCCTATTCTTCCTTAGTGAGATCTTCACTCACTTTTGGTAAATATTGCAAAAACAGCAAGAAGCAGTGGCAGTGAAGAAAGTTGAGAAGCTGCTTCGTTTATTGCAAAGCAATAAAGATCCACAAACTGGGTTTGCCCAACTGAATAAACTCAATCTGTTACTATTTACCGCTGGCATGGTGGCAGATAACTAAAATACTGGAATTCCCAGCTAAGTAAATACATTTAGGGATGTATTTTAGTCCTGTGGCTAACGAATCCTGGATTTTTGTCAAAAAAAAAAAAAAGTATACATAACTAAAAGTTAAAGAAAGGTTAGCCAATTTTACCCGAAACAAACATCCTCCATGCGTCCATGTAGGATGAAAAATTAAACAAAAACCAGAGAGTGGAGTGTTTTGTGAGGTGAAACAAGACTTGAAATCTCCAAAACCAGAATCTTCTGGGTTTGGTCATCAGAGCTTGATTGCTCAGCATAGGTAGTTAATATAAATCTAAACAAATAAATAACTTGTACCCAAGAAATGATCAGCTTTCTTAATCGAGGCAGCATTCTAGGCCTTAAAATGATTCAATTAGTAGATGAATATAAAGTGTTCCCTTGGTTTTCATTGTTGATCCAAGACCTGGAGTGTCATAAAGCCTCATTGCTATACGTTTTGGTACCATGTACTAAATTAGAAACAGGTCAATAGGGAAGTCCTTTTCATGTTTGCTTAGAAGTAAATCTCACTGGATTAAGTGGTCCTTATTGTCTGGTAAATGGATCTAGGATTATAGCCTTAAGGTTCTTTGGCCTAGCTCTAAAATAGTCCTTAGTAAATTTCCTATTCAAATTCGAGAGTTGCGATTTTCTAGTTGTGTATGATTTTTTTTAAATAGCTGATTTAGTGTAAAAAGTCTTGTTAGTGAACTAGTGTTACAGGTTTGTTAAAACTCAGCAAAAATAACTGAAAATTTCAGTATAATAGTGCTGTCTTGATAAGTATTGGAAGAAATGAGACTGGAACTCTTCAGCCTTAGTTACAGAGAACCACTGTTCTTTGGCAATCTTATAGGGTTTGGCAACCATGGAAATAGTGAAGGAACAGATTGAAAAGGATTTGCATTTCAATTATCTCCCCTGGGGTTGAAGAAAAGCTATTCTAAGAGTGCAGTAATGGTGACAAAATCAAGGAACGATCTTCAAGATAAAAGTAAACAGATTTCCCAGTTAAAAAGGCATCATTTGGTTTAAATTTATACTTTCGTAAGATGGAATGTACTTGAAGGTCAGTTTCTAGTTTTTTATTCAAAAAATGTTATTGGACTGAAAAGATTTTGTTCTTTTAGTTTTTGATGTTTATTTGAATATAGTTTTAATGCTTACTAATGGCCAAGTGTTACTTTGTATGTAGCTTTCAAATATTTTCTATTTTAAGCAGTCTGCGGCAGCTAGTTCTGTTATGTCAAGTTGTAAAATGTTGTAAAAGTTCTTATTAGATATTAGAGTCTTATTTAGTTTACTATGACTCAGTATTATTTGATTTCTAGTTTAAAACATTGACACATTGCTGAAGGTTCTAAAATATACTACTTAATGTTATTATGCAAACTGAAGCTACATAGCTCAATCTGGAGAAGGAGGAAGATAAACATTCTTGCCACAATAGCCATTAAGTACTGCTAATCTTGATTGGAGTTTCATTACAATAATGAAATACTGAATAATGTTGAAAATTAAAAAATTTCCAGAGTCTTGAATTTCATAAAACCATCAATCACATTTATGATACAACTATTCATTTACAGTTTTAGTGGGTAAAAAGAAATATATTCATTATTGTTAATATGGCAGGATAAATGTGATGTTTTTGTTTTACCAGATCATGCCTCTGATGATTGATGAGTGCGCATACTTTTTTGAAATTAAGGTCTGCTGGTCAGAATCTGATCCATACTGAGTCTGTAAGCTTGGAATAAAAACTGGTTAGGAAAACAATAAAGCTCTAGAGCAGTGATGGCTAACCTTTTTGCCATCATGTGCCAAAAGCAGGGAGAGTGTGTGGGGGTCACATGTGCGCATGCCCACACTCATAATTCAATGCACACACACCCGAACATGCACACATGGGCCCCCCCCATGCTCTCCCTGCTTTTGGCCCGGTGGGCCCGGTAGGTCTGTTTTTTGCCCTCCCCAGACTCCAGAGGCTTTCTTGGAGCCTGGGGAGGGCGAAAACGGCCTTCCCCACCCTCCCGGAGGCTGGAAACAGCCCATTTCCTGACTTCCGCTGGGCCCGGAAGGCCTGAAAATCAGCTGGCCGGTGCGCGAATGCATGCTGGAGCTGAGCTAGGGCAACGCTAACGTGCCATAGGTTTGCCATCACGGCTCTAGAGAATACTTGGCTTGCTTATTAAATATTTTAAAAGAAGAACATGAAGAATTTTCAGGAATGCTTAAACTTAGGTTACTGACGTGAGGACATGTGTTCTACCTCTTGCTGTTTCTGAAAAGTCAATACTACATTTCAGGATAAAAGTGATTTGTTTTCTATTAACATGCTCTGGGTTTGTATCAGTTTTGCAGTTTACTTGACATTTTCTTTGAGAAGTTACTATTATAAATTTTATAAATAAGCTTTTCAAAGCTACTAGGAAGGTGTGTCTCAAATTAGTTTCAATCAGCATTACTGTTTGGGCAATTTAATTATATGGCAATCTAACCTCGATTCTGTATGGATTTGTTTACAGTTTTGTTTCCTCTTCTACCTTTCCACTATCTTGTTTTTAAACTTTTTATATCTATTGGCGGTTTAGCAACTAGAATAAGCCTTCTTGTCTTTCATTTTGTCAAAGGTAAAGTGTCTTTTAATGTAAATTGGTGAAACAGGATTCAAGTATAATCCTAAACCATAAATGTGGTCACATTGCATGCAATGTGAGCCAAGCTGATTTTATCTTATCTAATAAACTATGGTTAAACAAACCATGGCATTTGATATCAGGCTAAGAGTACTAAGATCACTATGTTCTTTCCACTCACTTAATATATATGTCCCCAAATATAAGAGATCCTTCGTCTTTCATGCTGACTATGGAGAAAGAGCAATATCCATTAATATGATACATTAATGGATTGGTTGTTTGGCAGAAAACTGTAGATATCCTGTATTTTAAAAACACCAATTATATCATAGCCTATCTGATCTGAGGGTAATGAGTTCTTTGAGGGTAAGCTGTGGAAGCTATTAGTTTGTTTATAAAAATGTAGTTGGTCTGCATATGAGGTGGAAGATTTTTAGATGATTGCTGATTTTTTTTTGATTGCACAATAATGACCCACAATGCCTTGAACCAATGAGTAGTGTCCACAAAGCAATGTTCTATCAGTTGGGAATGTGGTGTGATTGTTGGTCTAGGAACTTTGTAACCCAGGGCTGTCAAACTCGCTGCCCGTGGGCCGGATGCGTCACGCTCTGCTCATGCTCACACCGGTTTGGCAAGAGGGTAAAAAAGTCACAATACATCATATGATGCTGCCATAACGTCGCGAGTTTGACACCCCTGTTCTAAGTATAGGATTTCTCCATATGGTTATAAAAAGTGACAGACCAGCTGAATGAATTGGTAGTAGTAGCAGGATGGGTGGCTTTGAAATTGGAAATCATCTGGCTGTCACAGAGCAGCCCAAAGTTGGACACATTTCTGCTTAACCTTTCAGGGAAGATTGTGAAGAGAATTGTTGGACTGAAGGTTCAAAGGGCTCTGGAGGAAACGGATTATCTGGACCTCTTTCAGTATGGCTTCAAACTGGGATACAGTACTGAGACAGCACTGGTCACATTTTTAATAACCTGAGACAGTTTTGAGATGGGGAAGTGCATTTCTCCTGACCCTCAATCTCCCAGAGGTCTTTGATATCATCAACCTTGGTATTTTTTTGGACCAGCTCAAGGCCCATAGTGAGTGCGAGATACAATGTTATGGTAGTTCTCCTTTCTCCAGGGCTAGCTCCAGTCAGTGTTGAGGAGGGGGTCTGCTTTGTAGGTCATCCACAGGATTAAGTACCATGAGTATATAATTCATAAAGCGGGGCTCTTCTAAATCCCATCAATAAATAGATATATATATTTTATCCATAGTAGATTGATTTTTAAAAGAGTTGTACATCATATATAGTTTCAGTGTTAAAAGAAAATGGAGACAGACAGAGACATCATTTCACGTCTTCAGTATCAACTGAAAGAAGCTGAAGAAGAAAGAAGAAAAGCGGCACAGTATGGCTTAAAGCTGGTGGAAAGCGAAAACTTGCTGCAGAATCGGCTAGATGAACTGCAAAATGAAATGGTTACCATAACAGAGGTGAAATTTTAAGCATTGTATTAGAGTGTTTTGATAGATTCTACTCTCTGACACAGAAGCATTACTGTTATTGCTGCGAAATAACGATAACCTTTAAAAAAATGCAGTTCTCTCTATAGCTTTTTACACCAATTTTAAAGGTTCTGCAATGGAATGCTGGGATTGTATTGCATACATTAATAATGAGGTTAATAGTTACAGGTAATCCTCGACTTACAACCATTCATTTATTGACCGTTCAAAGTTACAACGCCACTAAAAATGTGACAATCAGTCCTCGCACTTAAAACTAATGCAGTATCTCCACAGTCACGTGATAAAAATTTGCTTGGCATCTAGTATGTATTTACAATGGTTGTAAAGTCCTGGGGTCATGTGATCATCATTTACAACCTTCCCAGCTCGCGTCCAGCAAGCAAAGTCAGTGGGGAAAGCTGGATTAATTTAAAGACCACATAATTCACTTAACTGCATTGATTCGCTTAACAACCATGGAAAAAGGGTTGTAAGAATAGGTGCAATTTACTTAACAATCACTTTGCTTAACAATGGAAATTCTGGTCTCAGTTGTAGTCTTAAGTTGAGGACTACCTTTATATAGAAAGCATATTTCTCTTAGTAATAGTGGGTTTTGTCTTCCAGCGACGGTGTGCAAATAATTAAATTTATAATTAGAAGGAGGTTCTTGACTTACAATGGATATTTTGGTCCCAGTTGTGGCTGAAAAGTTTTTTCGGTCATAAGTTGAGTCACCACATGACTAGACACAAATTTATGATAGTTTTTACAATTGTGATTAAGTAAATCATATGATTCCAATTTCTCCAATGGGCATTTTTTTGCCAGAAACTAGCAAAAAATGACATGTCATCGCAGGATGCTGTGACCAGTCATAAATATGAACTAATTGCCAAATGCATAAATTACAATTATGTACCGGTAACTGAAGGGATGATACAATGGTTTGCAATGGTCGTAAGTGCAAAACAGTTTATAAGTGACTTTTTCCAAGGCTATGATAAATGAATGGTTATAAGTCAACAACTACCTTTACCATCATGAAGAAAAACATTGTATCCTATATGGTCAGCATCTCTAAATATAAATTGTGAATTATTTCCCAATTATTAGTATAACCAACCTATTAATATGATTCATTATACGAATAATTAAATATTCATTGCATTTTCCCCATGAGCAAGGAGGTAGAATTTAAACTTTTCCTCTGTACTGATCCAGTAGCTCATGGATCTAAATCTTCTCCTTCAATGCAGTTAAGAAATGGGCACAGAAGATACGTGCAGTCTTTTAGATTTTGCCAGGGTGAACACTTTTTGCTCACCACTGTGCTTCTATAGCAGATGTCTTTCTTTGTTATAACTCCGTGATACTTCTTTTTCAGAATTTTGAACAAGAAAAATATACTCTCCAGAGAGAAGTAGAATTGAAGAATCGAATGTTGGGAAGTTTAAATCTTGAATGTGAGGCTCTTAAGCAGCAGCAAAATGTACATCTGGATGCATTGCGTAGGCAGTTGGAAACATTACATGGGCAAGAAATAAAGGAGCTTAAAAATAAGGTGCATTATACAAAGAATAAGATCAATCTGTTATTTATAGCAATTGCTCGCTTCTATTAATGCTAAACAGTCTTTAAAATGTTCTGGACTTAATACATCTATTGAGAAATCAATTCTGACCAGGAATATCTTTCTGCAATGCTAAAGAATAGAATAGAATAGAATAGAATAGAATAGAATAGAATAGAATAGAATAATACTTATCCCTTTGAATGTACACTAATCGGCATACATTAAAATGAAATTACGTTGCATACAACTCTCAAAGGGTCTCCACCTCTAATATAAACAAACATGACAAGATAGATAAATAAATAAATAAATACAAACCTATGTTTGTACCACAATATATATATGACACAGAGAAGGAGAAACAACACAGTCTGGTTCGGATGTATACATGTACATGGTGAAAAACAAATCTTGCAAGTTTACCAGACTATGTATTAATTTACTAATTTACATACTAAGACTATGTATTAATTTTAATTATACAACTTGATAGGATAGCAAGGAAAATTTTGGGGGTAACTGGCCATGTGGTGTGTGTGAAAGAGAGGGAGTGATTGCATGAGTGGGTATATCACTTATATCTTCCATCTTTAAAATACTGCTTTAGAGCAGAAAGGAGGAATGAGATGGAAAAGATGCTACTGCTTCAAATTATATAGCGTGTTTAAAAACCTAAGGGACATGGGCAATCTAGAAATACGAAATGTAATAAATAAATAAAAACCGACCACTCAACTGCATGTTTGTTTTTTCAGCCTTCCTTAGAGAATGTGATAGGAAATTCCAGCAAATACAGTGTTGCTGTTTTTTTAAATATTGTTTTTTTTAAAAAATGCAGTGATTTGACCAGCAAAAGTAGTAAAAAAAAAAATAGTTGACCCTAGTTAATGTATGCTTTTTTAAGTTTTAGAATGGAATAAAAATGAAGTATACAGTAGAGCAATAGTTAGTGAGGATATGTTGGTAAATTTGAAGAAGAATGTATATAAATGAAAATTAAATGTAAAAGTTATTTCCCTCTTTGGAAAACCATTGTTTTACAGGTTGAAAAATTAAAATCAGAGTTAGACGAAGCATTACTTAGTGAGAAACAACTGAAGCATAAAGTGGACCATCTGAAAGACGTGATTGCTTCAAAATCAGAAGAACTACACATAATGTCAGAACGTGTACAAGAAACTATGTCTTCAGAAGTGCTCAGTCTTCAGCTTGAGCTGCTATCCCTTGAGCAAGGAAAGGTATCGGATTCATTCTGAAACTCTTTAAGTGTCCTGTAAATTTATAGATAATTTGCAGATAACAATTCTTTCTGTTGGCTTCTGATCTATAGCTGATCATGTTTAAATATCATGGAAAGTAATTGAAATTAAATGTTGTGAATTGGGCTGTTGTCCCTATAATTGTAGCAATACAGTGTAACTACCAGTTAAAATCATTCACATGTTTATTAATTTTGTGACAGACAGATCTTGAGGACAAGTTATATGAACTGCAATACAGTAAAGAACAGCTAGAACTTGGAAATAGCAATTTGACGAATCGAGTGGCTCGGCTTGAAGAAGAGAAGGAAGAGAAAGAAAAAGATCTTATTTCATTTTGCAATTCATTAGAGGTGCTGTATTACATTGGTATTTATAATGACAAAAGGATCTTGTACTATATAGTGAAAATTTAATAAAGGGTTGCTTGTTTAAATGGAATATTTTTTCAAATTATGTTAGAAGTTTGAATAAAAACAATAAAAAAAGATAAAAACTAAGTGAGAATTTTTTTAAAAAAATTATAATTTTCTCCCCTAAAGAAAGCTTGTTTGTTTAAATAGAATTGACTTACTGAAATTCCTTGAGCTGGATTCTATAACATACAGTAAATATTTTTAGCAGTGAGAAATAAATTGGTATTGCTGGATTTGTTTCTTTTACAGATTTCACCTTAAAGGACATATGCTTAGCTATTATTTATTTTGTTAGGGATATATTTGTTTGAATCTGTAGATAGGATAAATTAAGCTAATCCTCTACTTGATTTTTGTCCTTCCAGGTTGTTTTAAGTATCAAAAGCAATTCTCTAGATCTACTATTCTGAACAATTACTGGGCTGCCTTAAATTTTTTTTTCCCCTAAGACTAGTCAGTGATAAAACTTGTGCTTTCTATGATACAATGTTAGTGATATATATATAAATCTAACTTTCATGCCCACCTAGTATTTTATTTGGATTCTTTCAGTTTTTTAAATATATAGATATGTTTGCTAGTGTAGGACAAAGCAAAATGACAACCTGGAGGATTGTCTATGGAGATTCTCACTCATCCAGGTCATGGTTGTTCCAAAGTCCTTTTTTCAAGAGGCAACTGGACTTTCTGGTTTTTCTTTGAAGATATTTCGCTTCTCATCCAAGAAGCTTCTTCAGCTGAATGGATGAGAAGCGAAACATCTTCAAAGAAAATCCAGAAAGTCCAGTTGCCTCTTGAAAGAAGCACCTTTGGGACAACCTGGAAGATTGCATTTTTTTTACAAGAACGTTTCTGCACCTAACCTGGTCTTGTCTTGAGAAATAAAATGATAGGCAACTACAGTCCAGCACTGCCTCCTTGCTCTGAAAAAGGATTAAAATAAATTGAAGCATAAAACAGCAGCCTGGGAAAGTATTAGAGAGCAATCTTAGCAAATTGCTTCTAGACATTTATCTATGGAGTGGTGGTGGCACAATGGATAGAATGCAGTATTGCAGGCTAGTTCTGCCCACTGCAGACTGATCCTGACCAGCTCAAGGTTGACTCAGCCTTTTAAGGTTGGTAAAAGGGAGACCCAGATTGCTGTGGGCAATATGCTGACTCAAAACTGCTTAGTGAGGACTGTAAAGCACTATAAAGTGGTATATAAGTCTAAATGCTACTGCTGTTCCTATTTATATCATGCCTTTATTATTTTTACAAGTAACTCCAGGTGGTGAACATACTCAACACTTTCCTCCTCCTATTTTCCCCACAGCAACCACCTTGTGAGGTGGGTTGGGCTGAGAGGGAGTGATTGGCCCAGTTTCACCCAACTGACTTTCATGGTCTCCTGCTTTCTAGCCTGGTGCCTTAACCACTAGATCAAACTAGCTGTGGTTGATGTTTTGTGACATGTATTGCCATTATCATGTGTTTTCGAAATTTTGAATATTTACAGGATATTTACAAGAGTTGTGTAGCTAAGATGCATTTAGTTTGGGTAAATTAACAATGTTTTACTCAAATTCAGGAAGCCCGTGAGATGAACCGAGATCTTCAAGTTCAACTTGACCATGCACTACAGCAGGCCCAGGATTTTCCCAGTCAAGGCAATTCTCTATTTGCTGAGGTACTGATTTTCATAAAAGAATATATTACTTTCAACAAAGCCATTATTAGTTTCAAAGCCTTCTTATATTGAGTCACTTCTCAGTATCAATTCTCTTGAATTATTTTTTCATTCAAAGTTGATGCTAGATATTCTGAAAAAGCATTTTAATCAAAGTCTTAATACAGTTTTAGTAAGTTATTACATGTTTGGAAACAATATAGCACTGCTGAATCCTCTAGAACAGTGTTTCCTAACCTTGGCAACTTTAAGATGTATGGACTGCAAATTCCAGAATTCCCCAGCCACTATGCTGGCTGGAGGATTCTGGGAGTCCATACATCTTAAAGTTGCCAAGGTTGAGAAACACTGCTCTAGACCCGGTAACAAAAATTTCTCAGTCCAATTATACATTAGTAATTTTGGCTAGGAACTAAAGCATGTGAAATTGCCCATCTTAATACCCTCCAGTTGTGTTGAAGGCAAGATTAAATGCTGGAAAAGCCGTGACAATTATTACAGGTTGGGAGATATTTTTTTTCTTGCTTTAGACAGGGGTGTCAAACTCGATTTAATTGAAGTCTGCATCAGGATTGTGTTTGATCTTGAGGGGCTGGAGTGAGCGTGGCCAGGGTGGGTGTGACCAGCTCGATGTTACTCGTGTCGGGAGCGCCTATGGTAACCTGAGCGCTTTGCCAGAGAAAATGCTCCCGAGCTCCCTTTTTGGCTGCAATGGCCTCCTGCAACCCTCTGCAACAAAAACAGAGCTCGGGAGAGCTGCATGCTCCATTTTCGCTGGCAGAGGCACCATGGGCCAGTCCTTTGCTGTTTCCAGGGCGGCCATGTGAGCTAGATTTAAGCACCCCACAGGCCAAATTCGGCCCCCGGGCCATACATTTGACCTCTGCTTTAGGACAATATTTTATTCAAAACAATTTAGCTGTATAAATGTATGTGGCATCCAAATATTTAGGAACTTGCTTAATTTTTAAGATACTAATCTCTACAGTGATAACAGTAATGATCAAGTACTGTCACAAATTCTTTCAAACTTCTCAAAATAATTGTGTTTGGCAATTATTTTAAAATAAGTTAGCAATTATCTAGAAGCTACATGGCTTTGATTTGGTGAATAATATGGCAAAGTTATTAACTTTCATTATTTACTTTCTAAGCAACTTATATGATAATTTCTCTAGCTTTCCTGAGGGACTGTATAACTTGCTATAAATATTGAATGCATTAGAATGTGAACCAACTTTAAGTGGATTTTTTTTTTCAATAGGTAGAGGATCGTAGAGTAGAAATGGAGCGTCAACTAATTAGCATGAAAGTAAAATATCAGTTATTACAAAAACAGCATAATTTCACCAGAGAACAGTTGCAAAGAGTCAAGGTATGGTTAATTTAAAATTTATTTTGTTAGAGGAAAATAAATCTTTGGATCATTTATGCTGGAATTTTATTCTTTCTAATAGCTAAGCATTTCTGTTTTGTACATATATAAAACTGTTATGGAATTAAAATGAGATACAGCTATGGAATTAAGAAAGGCCGTGTTTAGGAAACAAAGCTGTTTCATCTGTGTAATATTAATGTCACTTGCTATGTAAATGCTACTTTTCTAGAAACAAGTTGCCTTCTAGCTCAAATTATTTTTGAATCCCCGAAACAAAAAATAACGGTACATGGCGCCTTCTTTAATCATGACTCAACAAAATGTATCATTACCATCCTGGCACAAATATCCACATCTTGCTTGGGGAATTCTGGGAGTTGAAGACTACACATCTTAAAGTTGCCAAGGTTGAGAAATGCTGATCCATTCTATTTCTGTTGTAGAAACAAAACAATGTATTGGTGTGAAATATTAGGAAGTTTTTAGTTTTGGGTGATGTGAAAACTATAGCTATTCTTAGTCAGAAAGTTTGCCAGAGTACTCATGCTTGGTATTTTCAGCTTGTATTTTCAGTACAGACCAATACTTACAAGAACTGGTGTTATAGAACTGACTTGACTGAATACAGGTAGTCCTCGACTTATGACCACAATTGAGCCCAAAATCTATGTTGTTAAGTGAGAAATTTGTTAAATGAGTTTTGCCCCATTTTATGACATTTCTTGCCACAGTTGTTAAGTGAATCACTGCAGTCGTTAAGTTAGTCATATGATTGTTAAGTGAATCTGTCTTCCCCATTGACTTTGCTTATCAGAAGGTTGCAAAAGGGGATCACATGACCCTGGGACAGTGCAACCATGGTAAAGTCAGTGGCTGAGTGTCTGAATTTTGATCATTTGACCATGGGGATGCTGCAATGGTCATAAGTCTGAAAGTTTTTCAGTGCCGTTGTAACTTTGAATGCTCACTAAATGAAAGGTTGTAAGTCAAGGATCACCTGTACTTTATGAACAGGTACTTTATGAAACAGTGGCCAACCATCTGAATTTTGATCATTTGACCATGGGGATACTGCAAAGATTGTAACTGAAAAACAGTCATAAGTCGCTTTTTTCAGTGCAGTTGTAACGGTCACTAAATGAACTGTTGTAAGACGAGGACTACCTGTATATTTTATAAGAAAGTGTGTGTAATTTAAAAATGACCAAAATTTGGTTTGATTTGTAGCTGCAGATGGCTACACTTCTAAGAATGAAAGGTTCACAGGGAGAGCATGACCAGTTGGAACGTTTACAAAACATGCTTCAACAAAAGAATGGTGAAATCGAAGAACTGCTCATGAAAGTGAAACAATTAGAAAAATCAATGGTATGTACACGACTAAATTATCAAATCCTTTATTGGCAGTGGGTGAAGGAATGGTATAGAACTAGACTGGAAAGCATTATATAGAATAAGTTCACGCAGCAAAAAGAATCATGAAATCAGAGTGAGTGACTTAACCATAAATACCTGAGATGCGCAACTGAAGAGAATAGATCTCCCATATAAGAATTTATGCAGAAAATAACATGGGGTCCATCTCTCTCTGACACACATGGATTAGTGGGGAGTATTCCAAGTGAGGGGTCCCCAGGAGATAGATAATGGAAGCAAGAACTATTAAATCATGCACCCAAGGCAAGAGGCACAAGCAAGGTTTCAGGAAAGGAGTGTGTGAAAGAGCTCCCCAATGCATCATGGATATTCAGCGGCAAAATGACTAAATTATAACCGTACAATTTCTGTTTCTCGGCTTCTAATGTGCTTTTAAGAATGGAATAGAAGCAATTTGCTTTAGAGAACCCCAAAATTGGAATAAAAATGAAATGTGGCCATGCTTCTTCCAATGATACTGTCAACCCTGAAGCAAACGTGGCTGAGGCCATCTTTGAGGCTTCAGGGTTGCCACAAGGAAGAAGAAGGGACAGGGACTGGGGAAATAGCTAGCTGGGGGTTTGTAGTCAAAACAAAACGTTTTCCTGTGGGAATCAAGGACATTCCAAAAAGTGGCTGGGGGAGAGGAGGAGTGGAATAACCAAGCAACCGGCCAGGACCTCTATTGGACAATGTGACTGATGACTTGGGGGAAAGGGGAACTTTTACTTTTTAATTAGGTGAAAACCTCGGGAACTTTCAGAGTCAGTATTCACCAGTTGTACCAATATGATGTATCCAATAAAGTGTTCCTTGAGAAATCTACCTACCTTGGGTTCTGCTTTCTATGGGTGTATTACTTGGAATGCTGACAGATACAGAAGTATGACTTTGAGTGGCTTTTGTCCCTACCCCTATCCCAAGCATTGTTCATCATGATTGTAGATGATACTTGAAAGACTTGGAAGAATTCCATTACATTATTGTACATACAATAGTGTGCTCCGTTAATCTCAGTTTCAGGAAGTGCAATAAAGAAGAGAAGTATTGTTACAACTTTGCATTTATATAAAGGCAAGCTTTAATATTCAATGATCAAGCCATTTTGGGATAAGAACCCAAAATGTTTTTTCATGGTTGTGTTTTCTAGGCTGGTTTCAAGAAAATACCACAGATACCTATTTGGTGTGTAAGTTGTTAATTACATTAATTGTTTGATACTTTTCCTCTATAAAATAGCTGAATTTATATATTCCCTTATATAAGTCGCATTTTTTGCCTCAAGGTATAGCATAATTTTGTTATATTTGAATGGGATGATTTTTCTTCAAAGATATTCTTATATGTTGCCATACCTTTTTGCCACTAACAGATAGCTGAAATTACCAAAGAGCAATATTGTATTAGTTTTAATTTTTTAAATAATTGTTTACCCAGAAGGTATCTGAGAACTCAAGAGAGCTGAAACCGTCGAATGCCTCAGAAGATGCTGAATTTGAAAATGGGTATTATGTTGATTTGCTTCAAATGAAACTTGAAAATTCAGAGTGAGTCTTGTGAATGCTAATTGTGGAAATTGACAGCTTGAGTGAGCCATGGCATTTAGATTACAGTATTAGTTCCTTCTCTAAATGCTAAATTGTTAGATTTTCTTGATTGTTTTTTTTTAACTTTCTTGATTAAAATAACCATTGTTAAAGTTAACTATTAACTATTTTAGTAAAATAAGCCTTAGTTATATGTTACATAATGTCAACATTTTAAATTGAAACCAAGTAATACTATGGAGTATATTGTGTGAAATCAGCCACCATTGCTTATAATTGGTGATTTATGGTACAGCATGTTGTATGAATTTAGCAAAAACATAATACCAGTCGGGTTTCAGGTCTGGGCACAGCACGGAAATGGCATTGGTCGCGTTGGTTGATGATCTCTGGAGGGCTCGGGACAGGGGTTGCTCCTCTGTTCTGATCCTGTTAGATCTCTCAGCGGCTTTTGATACCATCGACCATGGTATCATGCTGCACCGGCTGGAAGAGTTGGGGGTGGGAGGCACCGTGTTGCGGTGGTTCTCCTCCTTTCTCTCCGACCGGTCGCATTTTGTGTTGGCAGGGGGGCAGAGGTCGACCTCGAGGCCTCATCTGTGGAGTGCCACAGGGATCGGTCCTCTCGCCCCTTCTGTTCAACATTTATGTAAAGCCGCTGGGTGAGATCATCCGTGGCTTTGGGGTGAGATACCACCAAGTACGCTGATGACACCAGCTGTACATCTCCACCCCAGGCCACCCCAACGATGCCCTTGAAGTGATGTCCCAGTGCCTGGAGGCTGTGCGGATCTGGATGAGGAGGAACAGGCTCAAGCTCAACCCTTCCAAGACTGAGTGGCTGTGGCTCCCGGCATCCCGATATAGTCAGTTGACTCCATCACTGACTATTGGGGGCGAGTCTTTGGCCCCCACATAAAGGGCTCGCAATCTGGGAGTCCTCCTGGATATGCAGCTGTCCTTGGAGAAACATCTGACAGCTGTAACCAGGGGGACCTTTTGTCAGGTTCGCCTGATTCGCCAGTTGCGGCCCTTTCTTGATTGGGATTCCCTGTGCACAGTCACTCATGCCCTCGTCACCTCTCGCCTTGACTACTGCAACACTCTTTACATGGGGCTCCCCTTGAAGAGCACCCGGAGGCTCCAACTGGTCCAGAATGCAGCAGCGTGGGTAGTGATGGGAGCAGCATGGCACTCCCATGTAACACCGCTCCTGCGCGAGCTGCACTGGCTCCCAGTGGTCTTCCGGGTGCGCTTCAAGGTGTTGGTTATCACCTTTAAAGCGCTCCATGGCATCGGGCCTAGCTATCTTCGAGACCGCCTGCTGCTACCGACGACCTCCCATCGTCCCGTGCGCTCCCACAGAGAGGGCCTCCTCAGGGTACCATCAGCCAATCAATGTAGGCTGGTGACCCCCAGGGGGAGGGCCTTCTCTGTGGGGGCACCTACCCTCTGGAATCAGTTGCCCCCAGAGATAAGGAGAATCCAAGACCTTAGTGCCTTCCGCCGTGCCCTTAAAACCCACTTTCCAGCAAGCCAAGCTGGCTTAAGAAGAAATTTTAAATGTTTTAATTGGTTTGTATTTTTAATTTGGGCCAAATTTATATATATTTTAATTGTTTTTAATATTTGTATTTTATGTTTTTTAATTCTGGCTGTACACCGCCCTGAGTCCTCAGGGAGAAGGGCGGTATATAAATTTAAAATAAAATAAAATAAAAAATAAATATTCAGCCTTAGTATCTTAGATGAATCACTCCAGGGTCACACAGTAAGACACAGTTCGTTGAATAATGGCTGAGCACAATATGGGTTTCAAACAAAAGAGCTGAGTTCATGTATAGGTAGTCCTCAACTTACTGTACATTTTGACAGACACACTCCCCCTCCAAAAAAGTACTTATGATATAGATTCCAAGTGGTCCCAGTGGGCACGTTTTGGGTATTCAGCAACCCACTCGCATTTACGATTTTCAGTGTCCCAAAGTCACATGACCATAATTTATGATTTTGTTGTTGTTGCTGGAAAGTGGTATTTATTTCTGGTTTCTGAAAAAAGCTTATATTGGGGACAATGGGTTTGCTTGATGCCTGAGGCACTCGTTTAATGACCATGGTGATTTGCTTAATGATTGCAGAAAAAAAAAAGAATTAAGTCAGTTACTTGATTTTAAAAGAACTATCTCGATGACGGACTTTGGAGTCCGGAGAGATGGCATGGAGCAAGGAAGAATTTATGGGGCTTTTTAGGGAATTTTTAAAGATTTTAAGGGGTTCTGGGGAGGGGGTTGTAATTATTCTTTTAAAGATATTGGGAAGACGACTATGGCGGATTGGGGGGGAAATCCACCAGGGTCAGAGCCGTGCCCGGCACAGGGTAACGATCCGGGGGCACCGGACGAGGGATTGGGAAAGGGATGGGGGACGATATCTATGAGGGCTGTACCATCGGCACGGTGAATGGGAGGGGCAGATATGGCGGGAGCAGGGTCCCACATCAGGTGCTGGGGGCTCGCACTTGCTGTCTGAGAGCAATTGCTTGCCCGGTCCCCAAGGCTCTGCTCGGATACTAGGTGGCTTAGATACTCAGGAGCTGGGCCTTCGGCTGATGCTGTGCAATGCCAGGTCCGTGGTCAATAAGGCCCCCCTCATTCACGATCTTATACAAGAGGGAGGAGCGGACCTGGCGGGTATTACGGAGACCTGGTTGGGCCCGGAGGGTGGCGTCCCTCTGGTTGAAATGTGCCCACCAGGCTTCAGAGCATTCCATCAGCCGAGGGCTCAGGGGAGGGGCGGGGGGGTGGCGGTTATTATTAACGAGGATCTGGGTCCGAGGGAGACCACTGTGCCTCAGATAGCCGGATGTGAGTCCCTCCTTGTGAGGTGGGGCCGTGGGGTTCAGATGGGCTTGTTGCTTACGTACCTGGCTCCCTGCCGCGTGGCAACAGCCCTACCTGAGCTACTCGACGTGATAGCCACGGTGGCAGTAGATACACCCAGGCTTTTAGTCATGGGTGATTTCAACTTGCCATCCGTCGGTGAAACGTCTGAGGTGGCTCGGAGTTCATGGCTTCCATGACGGCCATGGACCTGACCCAGTTAGTTCATGGCCCTACTCACAGGGGAGGTCACACTCTGGATCTGATTTTTGTCTCTGGCCAGTGGTTGAGTGGTCTTGTTATAGGGGATATAGACATGGAACCCTTGTCATGGTCTGACCACTCACTCCTTCGCCTAGATCTTCGAACCGCGACCCCTCGCCGCAGGGAGGCGGATCCAATTAGATGGATCCGCCCCAGGCGCCTGATGGATCCTGATAGGTTCCAGACGGAGCTTGGGCCATTTCCTGAGGATCTAGCACATGACTCGGCCGAGGACCTGGTAGCCGCCTGGGATCGGGCGGCTGGTGGGGCCTTGGACCGAGTTGTGCCTTTGCGTCCTCTGACCCGATGCCGATCCCGTGCGGCTCCTTGGTTTACTGAGGAGCTGAGAGAAATGAAGCGCCGGAAAAGACGCCTGGAGAGCGGTTGGAGGGCCAGTCTCGCTGAATCTGATCGAACACAGGTAAGGTCGCATATTAAGGCCTACCTAGTGGCGATAGAGACGGCAAAGTCTAACTACTTTTCCGCCTCTATTGCGTCATCAGGGAATCGTCCGGCCGCCCTGTTTAGGGTGACCCGCGCCCTGCTCCATCCGGGAGTGCGGGAGGATCCCTTAGAAGGCAGGGCGGAGGATTTCGGACAATACCTGTATGACAAAATCGCCCAGATCCGGGGGGATTTGGACTCTGACTGGGTAGATCAGGGCAGGGTGACGAGGAATAGTCTTGAGAATGTTATCTGGGAGGAGTTTGATGCTGTGACTCCTGATGATGTGGACAGGATTTTGGGGAGACTTAGTGCGGCCACATGTTTACTGGACCCGTGTCCCTCCTGGTTGGTACTGGCTTCCCGGAGGTTACACGAGGCTGGCTCCAGGGTGTTATCAACGCTTCGTTGAGTGAGGGTTACTTCCCCACCGCCTTGAAAGAGGCGGTGGTGAGGCCTCTCCTCAAGAAGCCGTCCCTGGATCCGGCAATATTGGCCAACTATCATCCTGTCTCCAACCTTCGCTTTATGGCGAAGGTTGTTGAGAGTGTGGTCGCACGACAGTTTCCGCAATTCCTGGAGGAAACATCTTATCTAGATCCGTTCCAGTCGGGTTTCAGGTCTGGGCACAGCACAGAAACGGCATTGGTCGCGTTGGTTGATGATCTCTGGAGGGCTCGGGACAGGGGTTGTTCCTCTGTTCTGGTCCTGTTAGACCTCTCAGCGGCTTTTGATACCATCGACCATGGTATCATGCTGCACCGGCTGGAAGAGTTGGGGGTGGGAGGCATCGTGTTGCGGTGGTTCTCCTCCTTTCTCTCCGACCGGTCGCAGTTTGTGTTGGCAGGGGGGCAGAGGTCGACCTCGAGGCCTCTCATTTGTGGAGTGCCGCAGGGATCGGTCCTCTCGCCCCTTCTGTTCAACATTTATGTGAAGCCGCTGGGTGAGATCATCCGTGGCTTTGGGGTGAGATACCACCAGTACGCTGATGACACCCAGCTGTACATCTCCACCCCAGGCCACCCCAACGATGCCCTTGAAGTGATGTCCCAGTGCCTGGAGGCTGTACGGGTCTGGATGGGGAGGAACAGGCTCAAGCTCAACCCTTCCAAGACTGAGTGGCTGTGGCTCCCGGCATCCCGATATAGTCAGTTGACTCCATCACTGACTATTGGGGGCGAGTCATTGGCCCCCACAGAGAGGGCTCGCAATCTGGGAGTCCTCCTGGATATGCAGCTGTCCTTGGGGGAACATCTGACGGCTGTAACCAGGGGGACCTTTTGTCAGGTTCGCCTGATTCGCCAGTTGCGGCCCTTTCTTGATCGGGATTCCCTGTGCACAGTCACTCACGCCCTCGTCACCTCTCGCCTTGACTATTGCAACGCTCTCTACATGGGGCTCCCCTTGAGGAGCACCCGGAGGCTCCACCTGGTCCAGAACGCAGCAGCGCGGGTAGTGACGGGAGCAGCATGGCCCTCCCATGTAACACCGCTCCTGCGCGAGCTGCACTGGCTCCCAGTTGTCTTCCTGGTGCGCTTCAAGGTGTTGGTTATCACCTTTAAAGCGCTCCATGGCATAGGGCCTAGCTATCTTCGAGACCGCCTGCTGCTACCAACGACCTCCCATCGACCCGTGCGCTCCCACAGAAAGGGCCTCCTCGGGGTGCCATCAGCCAGACAATGTAGGCTGGTGACCCCCAGGGGGAGAGCCTTCTCTGTGGGGGCACCTACCCTCTGGAATCAGCTCCCCCCAGAGATAAGGAGAATCCAAGACCTCAGTGCCTTCCGTCGCGCCCTTAAAACCCATTTATTTAAACAAGCCGGGCTGGCTTAAGATGAAATTTTTAACTGTTTTTAAATGTTTTAAACGTTTTTAATTGGTAAATGAGTTTTAAATGGGCCAAATTTATATATCTTTTAATTGTTTTTAATATTTGTTCTGCATGTTTTTTAATCTGGCTGTACACCGCCCTGAGTCCTCAGGGAGAAGGGCGGTATAGAAATCCAATATAAAATAAAAATAAAAATAAATTATCGTAATTTCAGGCTCAATTACAGTCATAAGTTGCAAACTACCTATGTCTGCAACTAAACAAATTGTATTTTGCTTACCCTGTTGTATATGAACCAATAACCACGTGCAAATGTTTTACCTGGAAAAGTGCATTAGAAGAGTACATACAGCATGAAATGTAATTTCTCTTCTTTATCCTGCCACTGATTCAACTTCCAGAGGATGAAAAAATAAATAAATGAAAAAAAGCAGACCTGCATGCAACAAAAAAGACGGAACTTTGAATATTAGTAGATATTTTAGAAATAAAAAAAAACAATGCCCTTTAGAATATTAACATGAGTTCAGAATTCTGGATGTTTCTTCCTTGTTTCTCTTCCTTTACCATACACAGTACAGCTGGGCTGAGAGAAAGGCACTCACTGACTTTCCCTATCTGAAGGTGGACCAAAAGCTGATCTTCCCTGGTCTTAGTCCAATACCTTAATCATACATCATTTTCAAAGTTTTTAATGTTACTTTATGAGCCAAATTCAATGATATTTTTACTGGGAGAAGTTGTGCTCTTTCTTCAATTTTGTCTGATTTTTTTTTTCCTGCATTCTCTCCTGTAAGCGACAGATTTTCACTGGCTAGAAAAGTCATTACTGTTCTGTACTGAGACCATCATAAATCTTTTTGGATGGTTTTGGCTGCTAATATTGCTTCATATACTACACATTTTTAAATCTAATGTGGTCTTTATATGGGGATTAAAAGATGGAAGGAATTGAGACCTGCAGTGTGGATGTTGACTTTTATGCAATTGTATGTTTTCTAATACTTATTTTTTGTTTCTTTATTGTTAGTAAGGAGAAAGAAAATTTGAAGAATGAATTATCTTTACAGCGGATGAAAGCTTTGTTTGAAAGTCAGCGAGTCTTAGAGATGGAGCGAAAGCTTTTTGTAACTGAAAAGCAACTTGAAGCTTGTCAGAGTGAGAACATAAATTTGCGTGTGCTGCTAGATGAACTGAAAATCAAATATGAACCAGAAGGTAATTATCCCTGCTCCGTAATAAATCACCATTTCCATCCATATATTGCCTTTTAGTGTGGGAACTGGCCAAGGTTCTTAAAGGCTTTTAGAGTTATACATTCCCTGCATAGTCTCAACTGGAATTGCTTAGTATTGTTTGTGCCATAGCTGAGAATTCAGAAGCCTGGGAGAGACCTTGGAACAATATAGGTTATTCATTGAGGCAAATAGACATAGAACAGGCTGCACAAACTCTTCTGTTTTCTTACAATGGGGAAGTGTATCTTGAAAATGTATTACTTCTTCGTCTTGCTTAGGGACATAGGAGATTCACATTTTAGCTCCAGTTTGTGAAGTGTTGTTGAGAGCTGTGTGCTGTCTTTTCATTCTTTTCTTTTTAATCTTTTATTACTTTGCCCAACAATTGGAAACCATGTAGAAAGCCAGGTGTTGTAATTCCACACTTTAGGGGATCTCTCTGAAACGTAGCAGGAATATTACTGTGGTTCAGACCACTAGTACTTTTAGAAAGCAAAGCCCCCTGCCAGGATAGATCTCTTTTTTCTCAGTAGCAATAAGCTTCATTTGTATAGGGAATGTCATCTGTGAGTTATGCACTAGTTCAAGCTGCAGTTGCTTCTGCCTTCCTCCCAGGCCTGAAAGTAGTAGCAGAAGAGCCTGCCAGGTCCTGTAGCTGACTGCGATAAAGAAGCTAATCAATCACTAAGGAGAAGGCCTCATTTCCTTCTCCTTTTGTTCTTTTTAACCTGGTTGAATGTTGGAGTTGTGTAAATTTTTTTTTATTCTTTTTTATTTTATTTTTTTAATTTGATTTTATATGCCGCCCTTCTCCGGAGACACAGGGCGGCTTACAATGCGCTAAGCAATAGCCTTCATTCTTTTGTATATTTATACAAAGTCAGCTTATTGTCCCCACAACTGGGTCCTCAATTTACCTACCTTAGAAAGGATGGAAGGCTGAGTCAACCTTGAGCCTTGGCGAGCTTCGAACCTGCAGTAATTGCAGGCAGCTGTTCTTAATAACAGGGTGCTTTAGACCACTGTACTACCAAGGCTCTAAATGGGTTAAGAAGTCGATATGGGCAAAAAACAGGCCCGATTTTGCAAAAAAGGGGCACGCAGAGGGTTTGGGAGGCCTGCAGAGTGCTCCCGGAGGCCATGGGAGGGCAAAAACACCCCCATTTTTGCAAAAAATGGGGCACGCAGAGGGTTTGGGAGGCCTGCAGAGTGCTCCTGGGGGCCAGGAAGGCCAAAACTCTCTTTTTTTCTTACTTAGCTCTTCCAAATCTTGGTGCATCTTGTACACCGGTGTGTCTTATAGTCCGAAAAATACAGTATTTAACTAGATTTCTTGTTTTTAAGCTTATACTTTTAAATTCCTTTCCTTACTACTACTGCCTCTTTTTCTGCACTTTGCACAATATTACTTATATAAAAGAGAATAACACAATTGGTGAACAAACAAATGAATGAGCTCTTATAAATATAATTATCTTAGGGAATGCTTTAGTGAGATTAGTGACTCATTTTGAAAACTATTCTAATATGAATTCTTGTGTGCAATTTTCTCCCAATCAGTTAAGTTTGTGAAAAGGTATGTCACCAAGGAGTAAATATGCATACTAACAATACCCCTATATAAATTGTATTCTAAAGAATTAATCTGATTTAATTTTGTATTCTCTTTCCTAGAATTAACGGGCCAACTGATCAGCCTCAAGAAGGATGCAAGGCATGGATTTTCAGACAGCTTCAATATCAGCAATTCTTTGTGTGAATCTTCTTGTTTGCCATTTCAAAACAAGGAACTGGCTAAAGAAACGAAAGATGATCTCAAAACTACCCTTCAAATTAAATCCATGAATGTTGTTCCTCTTCCGCCAATAGAACAAAGAGGAAAGAAGACCGTGAAAATTGAGGAGAAAGACTTTGACAGAACAGCTATAAATAAGAAAACTGGGAATGATGCAGGATTGCTTCAGGCCACCAGGTCAGTGTCTACTAATATGTATGTGCAAGACAATCAGCACAGACCTGCATCTCTGTTTTTTCGCTGCATGCATTATGCTATACATTTCTTCATCTACTTTCTCAGTATTGCATGCAGTGTGCTACCCCAGCTCCAGTTGCCTAGTCTGAAACTCTCAACATTCTTTAAAAAGTCAAAATAATAGCAAATGGAAAGGACACGATTCTTATGGACTTCAGTATTCCTTACTGGTTTTTTTTTTTTTTTTAATCACCTTAATGTAGTGCTCATGCTAGATTTCATTTGCATTAGCAATTGTGCCAACCTGGCATTTCAAAGTTAATTTGTATTCTAATTCAGGATGGAAATCTGACCCACAGTTATTTCATATTGACTTGATAATATTAGCCTCTATGGATTTGTTTTTCTTTATGAATGTTTGAATGATTCATTTAAGGCTGTAAACATGTATGGAATATGTGAAAGTAGAGATGCAATTAAAGCAGTGGGTGGAACATGATAGCTATCAGAACATCTGGATGTATAACCTGGCAATGAGAGCTTTTGTATGAATTGACAGACATTTAAGATTTCTTTAGGACTCTAAAATGCTTTCAGAAGAGGTACTCTGGAAAACATTTGGGCAGTAACAAGCACCTCCTTTTGAACGATTACATTGTGCCTTTTCCCAGATTCACATGATTCACTGCCCTATGAGTATGAAATCATGTGAATTTGGGAAGAGGCTAGGCTGCTTCGAAGGCATGTAAAATGGTATTTCACTTACGTTTCCTGGCATTATAAAGCACTTACAAAGATTTGTATTACTCATTGCAACTATGAGTAATTAAGCATATGTTCATATGCTCTGTTGCCAGATTAGCATCATGCCTTCATAATCGTGCAATAGCTTATTGGGCAATGAGCTTTCATAGGTTCTGTCTCTGTTGTGATATATTTGAAAATACTTTGGAGGATTCTGCAGGGTGAATGCAAGAGCTTCATGGTAGTTACCCATTGGTTAACAGCTATCGTTGGCTAGCATTTTCATTTTGTCCTAACTCCTTGGCTCATTCCCTATAATGTTAAAATTGTAGTACAGTGGTGTTATGTTACCTTTCTGCTGCATAGTTGTCTTTAAAACTGGTCATTATAACCAGACTGCTTGCTTTGACATCATGAAGGAAATGGAGGATGCTAATATTAGCCAGCTGGACTGTCGTTTTATTTCATTCAACTTTTTCACTTTTGGAGGAGAAAGAACTGCAAGGTTTTGAAGGTTTTGAAAATATGTGAGCAGCATCTTTGAAGATGTTATTGCCAATTTAGCAATGGAATTAAGCAACTCAGGCAGAAAAGCTGCTGAGAAGCAGGGAGGGTTATACACCAGCAGCAATCCCTGCTGATCCCATAAACCCAACTTCAACCAGAGCACCTCCTAGCTGAAGACAAATAGGTACAGACAGCAACACAAAATAGACTTGTTGATCAATTGTTCTGTCACTTATAAACCTTTTTATTTTTATGTAATTTTTATTAAATATTTTTAAAAGAATACAAATTTTGAAAGAGAAGAGTAAGGGAAGTGAACTAATAAGAATAGAAAATACAAAGAAAAAAATAGAGAAGAGAAAGGGGAAAAAAAGACAGATAATGTTATAAACAAATGGCTTCCAATCTTAAAAGCAATTACAAATATATGAGCCGTGCTGTCGCAGTGGTTAGAATGCAGTACTGCAGGCTACTTCTGCTGGCTGCCTGCAATTTGGCAGTCCAAATCTCACCAGGCTCAAGGTTGACTCAGCCTTCCATCCTTCCGAGGTGGGTAAAATGAGGACTCAGATTGTTGGGGGCAATATGCTGACTGCAAACCGCTCAGAGAGGGCTGCAAAGCACTGTAAAGCGGTAAATAAGTCTAAGTGCTATTGCTATTGCTATTTTACCCTCTGTTTCTAAGATCGCAACATAACTTCTTTTTTTCCATTCTCTAGCTTTTCTAATCATCAAATCCATAAAACACAAGTTCATTTTTAAAAAAAAAAATCAGCAAAAAGCCCATAAGGAACTTCCTGCTAGCAATAAATATATTTTTGTCCTTTCTCTAATCAGACAATCATCTGTCTCTCTGCTAATTCTGTCACCTTTACCATTTATTTCTCCATCATATGTATTTCAGAATCTTCATTTTAGCATAAAATCTTGCAGTTACATATAAAATGATTTCCATAACTCTTTTCTAAATGTCTATCTATTAGTTCAAATAAGATTTCTGCTTTCAATTGAATATATTTCTATCACTATACATATTCGAACCCAAGATTTTCTAGCTTTTGTGCAGGTCTGCCAGCCATGATAAAATGACCTTTCATGTTTTCCACATTTCCAACATAAATTTGCAGCATCTTTATATATTTTAGATAATTTTTCTGGTACATCATTTTATAAAAGTTCTCATTTAAATTATAATGTAATTTTCAGTTCTTTCAGTTACATATTTTCCCATTGTTCTCCCTATATATTGATAGAGCCAGTTTGGTCTACTAGTTTAGGCACTAGTCCAGGGACTGTGAGTTCAAGTCCTGCCTTAGCCATGAATACCAGCTGGGTGATCTTGGGCCAGTAACTCTCTCAGCCCAATCCACTTCACAAGGGTTGCTGTTTTGGAGAAAATAGGAGGAGGAAGATGTGTTGGATATGTTTGTCACCTTGACTTATTTATGAAAATAATGAAGGCAGGATATAAATAAATGAATAAATAAAATAATAAATATTGTCTAAAGTTCTTCACTCACTTTATCATACTCTTCCTCTTGTTCTTCCATTTCAAATTTCAACAAAAGTTTATGCATTTTAGCAATTAAATGGTCCTCTTCTGTACATAGTTTAGTTTCAAATACTGTTTTGTGATGCTAAATTCTAAATATACCGTTATCTACCTTAAATATTAACTGTGTATACAAAAACCATTTGAAAACAAAATCAGCAGTCAATTTATCTCTTGATTTCATCTTACAATTGTTTGGTCACTTCTAAACTTTACTGAATGCCAATCTTTGACACAATTGGCTGTCATTAACTGCTTGAGTTCTTTTAAAGTCATATTGTGTCATCACTGATGCCATCTAGTCATGTAGGGTTTTTTTTTCTTCTTATCTCTTTTGCACTTTCCAAGTGCCAGGATATTGTCCAATGACTATAGATTTCACTTTATGTGACCACAATATTTAAACTGGATTCGTTATCTGTGCTTCCAGCAAGCATTCTGTTTTTACCTTATCTATCGATAAACTATTTGTTCTTCCAGTCTAAGGTATTCGTAGCAATTTTTTCTTACACTACCATTCAGAGGCATTGATTTTTCTTCAGCTTTTCTGTGTTCCAGTTTTCAGAGCTATTTGTTACAACTGGAAAAATAATAGTCTTGACAATATATACCTTTGTTGCCATCATGATATCTCTGCACCTCAGTATTTTGTATAAAGTTATCTTAGATTTTCTTTCAAGTAAAAGGCATCTTTGTTTTACTAAGTCACCATATTTGTGAATGCTTGAATCTGGAAATATGAAGACTTGAATAGCTTATCCATCTGTTTATGTATGTTGGCGTTGCCTTTTAGCATATTGGATTTGTAATAAATAGTACCAGCTTATTTCATTTTTTAACAAGAAATTCCTCAATTTTTCCTTCTTCCAGACCCACCATTTGCATAGCTGAGGCTGTTGATGTTTCTTCCAACATTTTTAATTCCTGTTTCTAATTCTAGTCTATCATTTCTCTGCATGTATGTTAAAGAAGGTAGTGTGCAAAATTAATTTTGAACAATTTAATTGCACCATATTTCACTGTAACTGTTGCTCCCTAGTAATCATGCAAATTTATGCAGTAAGGAGAAGAAATGGCCTGGGTAAACCAAATCTTATTAAGAGCTACCTTCAATTTGTTGTGGTCTACACAGTCAAAAGCTTTGGTGTAATCCATATAGCAATTATCGATTTCTTGTCGGTAACGTAGCTCTTTCCATTGTCTATTGGATATTAGTAATGTGATCTTGTGTGTCTCTGCTTTTTTTGAATCTAGCTTATACATCTAACACTTCCTGTTCATGTACTGTTGAAGACTAGATTGTGAAATCCTAAGTGTCGCTTACCAGCATTTGAGACAAGTGCAGTTGTGCAGTAATTTGAGCATTCTTAAGCAGTGTTGTTTGATTTTTGGAATATAAATTGATGTTTGTCAGTCTCTTGGCTATTGCTGAATTTTCCCTATCTATATATTAAGAAGTAAAAGTTTAACTCCATTATTTGGGAAGGTTTTAAACAGTATTTCTTTTATTTCATCAAACCCTGCAACTTTATTGTTAGTAATAGGGCACATTTAATTTCATTAGCCAGAAACCTCTGGCTTGGTTCTGAACCAATGATTAAGTATTCATATGTATCAACAAATTTTGGTCAAAAGTTGGGGTTATTGCAGTGCCCCCCCACCCAGTCACATGATCAAAATTTTGGCACATGATAAGAACTTGGAGCTGGCTTTATACTTAAAAAAAAAAGTACCTTCTGGGAATCTCCTCAGTGGTTTTAAGGAAAATTTGGCCTTGTCTTCCAAGGGTTAAAACATTGAGCAGATTCCTAGAGGAGATCAGCTTCACTGGAAGCTTTTGGCCCTTCATGGGGGGCAGTGGTTCCTTTTTTTTTTTTTTTTAATTTGATTTATATGCCGCCCTTCTCCGGAGACTCAGGGCGGCTTACAATGCGTTAAGCAATAGCCTTCATACTTTTGTATATTTACAAAGTCAGCTTATTGCCCCCACAAACTGGGTCCTCATTTCACCAACCTTAGAAAGGATGGAAGGCTGAGTCAACCTTGAGCCTTGGAGAGATTCGAACCAGCAGTAATTGCAGGCAGCTGTGTTAATAACAGGGTGCGTAGACCACTGTACTATCAAGGCTCTTTTGCCTTACTGACTCCAGGCCATTAAAAACTATTTTTTTCTTTCATTGGATAATCATTATCAAAA